GTGGCTGCTGAAGATCTGTCCATGTAACAACAGTGTACAACTATCTGTAGGCTCTGGACATGCTAGTGGAAATCAAAGAAAGCACATACCCAAAGACTGCGGGTGGGTGCGTTTGCAAAGTGAAAGAGCCCCCCCACAACCACCACCACTTATTCAGTCACACTTGCCACATGTATAGGCCCCTGCCCTGCCTGACACCTCAGTCTGCCCCAAGTTGTTTTTTTTCTCCCTAGGCATATGCCACAAGTAGGGCACTTACATTTTGTCTCCCACCTTCCTCTCTCAAGCAAATATAACAATAATCTGTGAACTGATTTATCCATTTGTCTCCATGGAGTTAAAGGCGGCTTCTTTCAAATTTTCTAGGAAGTTTCATGACCACCAGTCCAGGTGATATCCTTCTTCCATCCCATTTCATTATCTCTGGGTGATGAGAAAATAAAGACGGGAAGAAGATTCTCGTAAGAATAAGGCAGCTTGGGAGGCAGGCTACCTCAGAATGCTGAGAGGAGCATTTCTAATACCTTTACATGGTGCTTCACAAACGCCAAAGTTGTTTTGCAACACATTAGGACCCAGTTGTTGGTTCCAGTGGTGAATAAACGATTGAGAAAATATGTATATGACTTTGACCTTTTAAGTGGCAGGAAAAGCTACAACTGGGTCTTCAGGCCCCTTGCCTCAAAGGAAACGCAGCTTGTAATTCTTCCTTTGCCACTGACATGAGGTTTGATTCCCCCCATCCTATCTCACGTCCATAGTTAATTTTTCATCTGAAACATATGGAACGTGGGCCCAACCATCAGTCTGGTTCTCGCAGCATCCCAGAAAGCCAGGCGGAACGGCAGGGCGGATGACCAAGCCTGTGCGTCCAAGAGCTCCGCTGGACTGGAGACCAAGACCTCTGCCTCGAAAACCCTGCTCGAAAAGACTGGGGACGCACTGGATCTGGGGCTGGGGCGGGCCGCACCATCCCTCTCGGCTCAAATCCCAGGGACCTCCGACGGACCACGGCAGCGTTGGATTCGAGGCGCCATAGGGACTCCAACGGTCTCTAGCCCGCATTAACCCAGAGCTGCCTCCTTCGGCGTTAGTATCTCTAATGCTCATAAAGACCGATAGTAGGATGAGCCCCCTGGGCCAGTGGTACTCTGTGTTCGTTACACCCGAAAGCGGGACACAAGCCCGGAGCGCCCACCCAGTACCGCCACGGGACCGCAAATTCCAGGGTTTGCGGTGCTGGGCGACGAGTTCCTTCTGCGCCTGCGCGCAGAGCTTGCGCAGTGGTGGAGGCGGGGGGCGGGGCGGGGCAATGTGGGCGGGGCAATGTGGGCAGGGCTAGTATCCAGCAGCCCCTGGTGCTCTGAAATGCTACGAGCCGGGAGAGCCTTCTAAGCAGCGAGATTGCGGAGCGGAGCTGCCGGGCGCTCTCCCTCACTCGGGGCCCCGACAAGCGCTCCGGGTCGGTGCACCCTATTGTACGGGAACGAACGGATTCTCCGCGCGCTTCTGGCAGGATTCGCAGGGCGGGGCCGGGAAATGTGGGAGCCGTAGTATCGCCGCTAGTCTGTGACGTCATCGAACTGCATAAATGAGATACCGCAGTAGACTTGGCGGAGCCCTGGCATATCTTGCCAGCGGCCTGTGTGACATCACAGCGCCCTAGTTCTGTGGCAAGTGGGGCGGGATGCCTTTGAGCCGGCTCTGGAGGCACCAAGATTCCAGGGGTGGGGGTTGGGTATGCTCTCACAGGTTCCATTTTCTTGGAGCTGAGGTGGTATCCAGGAGCCCTAGACCAGTCAGTCCACTGCGTTTCTGCCTTCCCCCCAACCCTATATTAGCTCTGACTCCCGCGGCCAAGAGGTCCGCAAGAAAAATTGGCCTATCCTACGCCGCAGACCCCTGACTACATTCGGAAGGAGGAGGTGGAACCTTGACGTGTTCCTCTTGGGGAGAAGCCCCTGCGAGCCGTTTTTCACCCCGAGTGCTACTGATCTCCCAGAGCGAGCCCCAGGAAGCTCCAGGGTGCCTCGAAGGTCTCTTGAGCCTTCTACCCAGCATCAAAGAGGTCCCGCCGAGTAGTGTCCCGCGGAGTAGTAGTGCCCCCTCCCCCCGCCACCCCCCACTTCCCTCCCACCCCCCACCCCCGGCACTTGGTCCTCACAGGAACTGCTAGCCTAGAGGCTTCAGGGAGGGCCCCAGCTGAACTCTCCTCTCCCTTCCTTCACTCCCGAAAACCGACCTAAGTCACACTGGGGACCTGAGACCAAAGAAGCTTAATGTCTGAAGACCGGGGTCGGGGTGGGGGTGGGGGTGGAGAGGAATGGGATCTTGGGGGGGGGGGTTCCCTTGCAGTGTGGGCAAGCAATAAAACCCATCCAAGCATTTCCGGCATTCTCATTGCCTTCTCTTGCTACCCGCAGAGTGGGAGCTGGAAATTGCCTCCCCCAACCATGTTGCCTGGGAATTGTAGCCTGTGTGGTGTCTGGGGGCCTGCAGCCGCAGCCTGCCCTTCCACTTGTGCTGTTACTACGCAATCCATGAAATCACTGTCAGGGTATAGACTGCAAAGAGCTAGGCCGAGAAGTGGCTTCTGGGTCCATCAGAATGATAGTGAGCCACTGGTCGGGCAAGGCAAGGTGGAGGCACTGAGTCAGTGGAGGTCTTCTGAGGGTACCCTGCCCCACTCTCAGGGCCTCTCTATGAACCCTGTGCTGGGCATCCATCCTTTAAGGATACACAATTGATATGAAAAGTCTCTCAACTGCAGGATCTAGGAGGGACGGAAAGAAGGGGATTCAGATTACTAGAGGTGGGGTGGACCAAAATGGGAAAACCTCACCTGCAAACCTCCTCCATATCCGTGGTGGGTGGCTCACTGCAGAGGCTCTAGACGTCCTGGGGGCCTGGGAGGTGGCTAATGTGGGGGCTGCGAGGGCGGCAGCAGTAGTAAATCCTTGAAATAGGTGGAACACAGAAAAGAGCCAGGAACTGAGGAAGACGCTCTCACAGGTTCTCACAGGTGCCCAAAGCTTTCCCTGGCAGCTGTATGTACCCAGGTACTGTCATCTTAGAGCAGCCACGTCTCCCTGACCTCACGAAGCTCATAAAAGAACCGACGTGGCTCCTGCCATGGGCCCTAACATAAGCCATGGTCAAGTGCACACCTTACTATGGGCACTGGCTGGCTAAAGCCGTCAAAACCCAACATGCACTGACTGACCTTCCCTCTCTGCGCCCAGAAATCACAGTTCTCTGGGATCCAGACTCCGTTTCTTTCCTGGGGAGCGTCCTTATGAAGCTGGGGGAAGAAGGGCTGTGATCTTGTTCCCCTAGAGGAGATCCCCCAAGCCGGTTCAAACCCGGCAGCGGACAGTCCTCATTTGCAGTGGGCCGTGGGACCGGTCAGGAAGGTTTTGAGGGCAAGACCAGACATCTAGATGAGTGGTGGACGGGGCCTGCAGGGGAGAGTTCAACTAGAGAGTTCATCTAAATGAGTCGTGGGCAGGATGCAGAGAGGTGCCCCCGTCCCGGGCCGCCCGTTCAGGCCTCTCCAGCAGGGGGCAGCGTGGCTCCGAGGGAGGGCCGGGCTCATCAGTGCGGGCCCAGCCAAGGCCACAGGGGCAAGTTGGGTTCCGGAACCGCGGAGTTCAAGCCCGCACTGCGCGGGGAGGCATGCCAAGAGGAGGTGGGGACGGCGCCGTGAAAGGCTGGAGAGTTTTAACTCCTACGGCGGGGGCTTCGTTTCTCAGGCCGCACGGCCCGGCCTGAGGCTGGGGCTTTGGGTCCCCGCAGCAGGGAAGCCCGGACCAGTCTTGTATGGGGCCGCCGAGAGCAGGGCACAGAAACCGGAGAGGCCGCGCGCTCGGCTTGGGAAAGGCCGCGGGCGCCACCGCCTGCGCCGCCCCGCGGTCAGGACTCTGGAGCTGGGGAGCCCCGCCCCGCCCCGAGCAGGAGAGCCCCAGGCGGCCTGGCCTCTAATTGTGGGAAAACTAGACGCCCTGGGGAAGGTTCAACTTGTGGAGGGCGGACTCAGATTTCCCCTCCTAAACTTCCCGGGCCTCCCAGGGCGCCCGCCCCCGCCATTCCTAACAAGGCTTTAAAAACTGTAGGGAATCTTCGCGGGCGTGGAGCCGCGCTCTGGGCAGGGGACGAGCCCCAGGCAGAGAACTGTGTCTGGGGGATGCTAATGGAGGGGGGTTGTAGGTTTGTGGATTTGGGGAGGCAGAGGGGATTGTGCACGTGCAGCCGGGTACTGGGGCCCAGGGAACAGAACTGGTCCTGAGGCTGTCTGTGAAGGCATCCCCTTCCGTCCCCAGAGCAGATGCCAGAGGTCAGTACGGAACCTTTGGTTGGAGAGGTGGGTGACATTCTGTTCCTTTAGTGGATCCTAAGCGACCCTGGCACCCGCAGACGTGGAGATTTCTCACGGCCAACGTACTGGCCTGGCCGCAAGCCGGGCTTCTTTATAACCCCCCACCCTTTGGAGGTGAGGAGTGGGGACACTGCGACCCAAGACCGATGGAGAAGTGAAGTAAGACAATAAACATGGGACGGGATCCGAGAAAGACCAATACAGAGAGAGAGGAGGCTTCTGCATCCATCCCAGCCCTAGAGCCTCCATAAGGCGGGGGTTCGGGAAGCGGGACAGGTTGGGGAGGGTAGGGAAATCTGCTCCTCTCAAGGAAAGGAGCCTCCTAGTTTCCTGTGTTTGGGAGGGAAAATACCCATCCTGCAATGCCTGTAAGATAACCGTTTATTTCATATTTTAAAAAACTCCAGTGATAAATGTCTGTTACCGATGGTCAGCATAAAGTGCCAATCGCAATACAACGCCCTGCTCCTAGCCCGCTGCTCGCTCGTGGTGACCGGGCGGCGGAGCAGGGGAGCCGGAGGCCGGGCCCCCTCCAGCCCCAGGCCCCAAGGCCCCAAGGCCCCCCGCCCTGCCGTCCGAGTCGAGCGCCGGGCAAACGGTCGCGCGGCGGTGCACAGAGGGGGCGTCCGCGGCCCCGCGGCCCCAGGGCCGGGCTGCTGAAGCTGATACACGGATTACACTTTTGCAGGCTCCCGGGGGTGGGGATGGGGACGGGAGGGGGAGGTGGGAGCTGCGAAGGCGCAGAACTCCTTTCCCTCTCCCCTCTCTCTCCGCAGGCAGAGTTACAAGCTTATATGGTCAAAGAAAAAAATAATAAAGAAAACGTATAAAATAACAATAGAAAAAGTAATACTTCTGGGAGAGGCGCCGCTACGGCTCCGCGGAGCTTTCGTTCTTTTTTTAAATGCAGTTTCCCTTCCGCCACGTGAGTACCGCCTTTTGGCCAAGACTTTAGCCGCGTCCTGGGGGAGCCGCCCGGGCGGCTGGGGTCACGGCTCGTGGCGGGGCTCTCTAGTTCCGCGTGCGCCGGGGACCCAGGGGACAAGTCTGGGATGGGGAAAGTTCCCGGGAACCCCTCATGCTGCCCGCCGGAGTCGCCTTCGGCTTCTGGTCCCTCCGGACGAGGGGGCAGCGTGACCCAGGGTACTGGTGACCCAGAGGCTCTCTTTAGCATTTGATCTTGGAGGTTTTGAGCTCCTTCACCTGTGAGTGTAGCGTCTTGTGGACAGCGAGAGTCCTGGACTGGCAGAATCCTTTCCCACACTCTTGACACTTGAAAGGCTTCTCTTTGGAGTGAATATATCTGAAAGCAAAAACAGAGAAATTAATCTTTGCAAAATGATGTAATGTTATAAACAGTTATCTAAGATCCCCTCCCACAGCAATGAGGTACTTGCCCTCAAAAGAAAGGGAGAGGTGGGGGGTACCTAGTGTGGAGTGGGCAACATGAGAAGTTTGTGAGTCAGGTAGGGAAGTGAAGAAAACCCCTAGACAATGTCTGACCCATCGGATGGTCGGGCTAGGCCCATCCCTGCCTTCCCCCAGGGACAAGCACGGTTTCCTTATAAGGCCTGGGTTAACAATGAAGGTGAAGGAGGGGACCTGGGAGGGGGGCAATGGAGCTGCGCTGTTCAAGCTGGCAGCCACTAGCCACACGTAGTTATTAAAATTAATGTTCAGGAAAACTAAAAAGTTAATCTCGCTGTCTCACTAGTTTTACATTTCAAGTGCTCCGTGGGGACACGTGTCAAGGGTCCCACTTTCCATCACCGCAGAAACTTGTATTGGACAGAGCTACGGATGGGAGAACGGGTGAGGCAGTTGTGCATGCCTGTCTGGAGCTCATGGAGACCCAACTTAGTCTTCCCATGCCCTCTCCGCCCATGCTCCAAGAACCCTGAGCCTTGTCGGGCTTCCTTTGCTATGTTAGAGAATTCCCAGAAACTGTGATTCTTGGAGCCAGAGCTGGGCTCACCAACCGCCTCATTAGGGAGGAGGACTGTGAGGACAGAGACAGACAGACAGCTTTTCCGGGGACCACCCGCAGTACCTGTGGTCCCGTAGGTGGTCTTGTCTCCGGAAGGCTTTGTGGCAGATGTCACAGGTGTAGGGCCGCTCATCCGTGTGCGTCCGCTCGTGGATAAGGAGGTTGTAGGACTTCGTGAAGTGGCGGCCACAGAACTTGCAGACGAACTCCTTCTTGGTCTTGGAAGGCAGGCGTCCCCTTGTGGGCTTCTTTTCTGGGGACAGCTTGGTTACATCCAGGAGGGCACCCAACCCACCAGCGGGGGACCCGGGGCCCTCCCCCCGGCCAAGCTTGGATGGATCTTCTTGCGTGGCAGCCAAAGCCAGGTTGGCAAAATCAAAGCGTGGCTTGGTCTTGAGCGCGGAGGGGCCGCTGCCTCCCACGGTGATCTCGGGCTTCGGCTGGATGACGTGAGGAAACCAGGGAAAGGCAGGCAACTGGAAGCGTGTGTCCACCAGGCTGGACACAGCGCCAGGCACTTTGGAGAAAGAGGAGCGAGGCAAGTGCACGGCAGGGTAGCCCAGCGCCCACTGGTGCAGGTGCACGGCGTGCAAGGCACTGAAGCCGTACAGGTTGGGCAGGTGGTCCGAGGGCACGGCGGGCAGGCCGTTCACTGCCTGAAGGAAGGAGTAGTTGGTGAGCTGCAGAGACGGGTGAATGGGCACTGGTGCTGGCAAGGTTTTGCTGCCCATTGTGGTAGTTGCCCTCGGTTCTCAATCTCAATCTGCAAAAGTAAGGAGAAAAAAGAACGGAGAGAAAAAGAGAAGTTCAGGGTAGGTGGTCCTCCTTCTGGATTCCAGCCCCGCCACACCCTCCCTGTCCCCCAGGGCAGATGCTGAAAGTCTGAGACCCCACTGAGGGAACCCACTGCCCTCACAGAGAAGATGGAACCCTCTCTGATGCCAGGGCTCCCTCCAGATGGTCTTTGCAGACACACACAACTTGCTACAGAAACCAGCGGGGAAACTAAATCCTACGCAACTCAATGAACTGAAGGGAGGGCCTCCAGCGTCCAGAGCCCTGAGAAAGGCGGGAGCACAGGGAAACTGGCTTGTGGAAATTTACATCCACACAAGCCTGAGTCAACACAGAACTGCACTCTCCTGCAAAGAGAACAGGAACTTGGAAGCACACTTCCACAATCATGGGCAGATAAACAAACAGAAAAGCACAACGACAGATAAACAGGGATTCACACGTTCTGGAGCAGTTGGCAACAAGGTGCAAAGATAAACGGAGATGATCAGTGTTGTGCTACCCGACAAAATGCAGGAACTGCCCAAATGTGGCCACACATGAGACAGCGCGCGCGCGCGCGCGCACACACACACACACACACACTCACATCTCTATGTCTCCAGCCTCCTGGGCATTAAGGTCTACTAGCTGATCCTCAACTGGCTTCCAGAAGCCATGTTATCTCTCTCCTCAAAAGGCTCACCTTGGAAATCAGATTTGCTTTTCCGCCTCACTATTAATGAGCCCAGCTGACACCACCCTCTCTGCTCTTGGACTTGACTCCTTACCTCAGCCCCTGGGGCTCACCTTCCTTTCAGCAAGGACACTGACACCCACATTCATTTACTCATTCAGACATCTGCCCGCACACAGGAGGGAGCTTCAGTACCCTCCGTCCCCATGTTAAAGGGGGCAGTGTCTTTGGGTTCTCCGGATGTTTCCCCATGCTGTGACACCTGGGCAGCAGGGCATGCCTATGGGCTAGAGCACTGAAGCTGGGCCTCGGCCGCTTTGGTTTCTGCCCCTCCAACTGCAAGTCCAGGATGCTGAAGTGACCAGCAGACAGGCATCTCCTGGCCGGCTTGGTCGGGGTCTCCAGCCTCCATGGACAGACCAGGGCTCTGCAGAAGAGACCTTTCATCTTCACGCCTCCCAGACATTCCAAATGTTCAGTCTGTCCAGTGGAAGCAAAAACGGAGAAGGAAAGTAGAAAGCACACGGGGGCCTTGGGAGGGTCAAGTGCTGACCTCTTTGGGCCCCGGAGCTGGGGGGCGGGGCTGCTTCAGAAGTCACTGTAGGAGGAGGTACTTGGGGAGCCCCTCTCCTTGCCTGTCTCAATCCCCTGCTGCCCACTTGTTCCTTTACTCCTCATTTCCCCCTCTTCTCTTCATCAGATGGCTCCTCTAACCTTCAGTAAGTCCCCCTCCCTGAATTGTGCAGGGCACTGCTGTGCTCCTTCCTTGGGCAGACATCGACGCCACCCAGACAATCTCCCCAGCCTGGCTGACCCTCGGTGGAAGGCCACAAGGCCCAGACGGAGACTCCACAGCCTTTCTCTGCCGCAAAGCTTTTAATGGGAGAGTTCCCTGCCCATTCAGGAAGGACTAAGGACCAGAAACACTTTCCCTTGGAAGCTGGCAGAAGAGGTCACTGGCTGAATAGTGGTCCGGGAGGGACAGAGGTTCAGCTAGGGGTGGAAGGTGCAAAACACGGAGAGTCTGCAAAAATTTTCAGCAGCAAGTTACTTAGCAATGGTCTGAAAACCCAGCGTCAAGACAGCAATTAATTCAGCCTCAGACTAGGGGAGGGACAACTCTGCAGTGACCCTTTCTGGGGAGCAGGAGTGCCCACGCGGGTGGAAGAACCAGGGACTTGGGACCAGTTTTCTCTGATGCTTTGATCACCGGCGCCCCCGTGATCATCCTAGAGCGCTAAGACACCCTGAAGCAAAGTACGAAAGGGTCCAGAGAGAAAGCAGAGGTCCTTTGGGGTTGGGGAGGAAAGAGGAGGGAGAAGGGAAAAAACAGAAGATTCGCCAACTTCAAAGGCTGGCCCAGACTTAGGCGAGGTGAGCGCTCTTTGATTTGCTGTCACCTCTTCTTCCCCTCCAGGCGCTGGAAATCAGATCCTTATCTCCGGCTCCCCGGGGCCAGCCCGGCGCCACCCTGGCCCCAGCTTGCTCCTCTTGGTGCTCGGCTTATCCCCAGCCAAGCGAGCGGCGGTGGCGGCGGGGTTCTGGGCTGCACAAGGGCCCGAGCCCGCTCGCTGCCCGGGTGGGAAACCCACCAGCGCCGGGTACTGACCTGGCCTTTCCTCGCCTACTCCTAGGAGCCATGAAGACCAGGGGCTCCGTAGGGGGAGGGGGCGTTCGCCGCCATCACTGCTCTTGGGAGCCAACCTTGCCGGGCTATCTGCCCGATCTTGTTTCCCCCAACACTCAATTTATTTTCTTCAGCAGCGCAGCCAGTTTCTTATTTTCTGCCACATTCGGAGGCCAGGGATCCCCAGGCTCTCGCCAACGACTTTCCCCGGGACGAAATTCGTTCGAAACGTGGCTCCTTAACACTAGTACCAAGAATGGGCCAAATGCACGATCCGGTTTCAGGCGGTCAACTAAGAGAAAAACACAGTCTCACACCCGCCTCTCCACCCGGATAGGATGGACGAACTCCCAGCCCCTCCGCGTCCCGTTGCCCTGACTCCCGGGACCCTTGTGTGAACGCTTTAGATTTTTAAACACGAGGGGAAACACCGCTCCCCGGGCCAGGCATCCACTTGGCAAGGAGCTGGAGCCTCGGGACCCGGGAGGTGCGGGTGAAGATCCCGACTACACGCCTCAAAAGCAATTCGCGCTTCCGAGCCTGGGTCCCCTGCTTCGCTCGCGCGGTGGAGCGCCCATCCCAGGTCTGCAGCCAGCCCTACGCCGGGCTTTAATGAAGTGTGCAGAGTCTATTAAAGTGGTTTATTCGGGGCTAATTGAGCGTGAGCGAGTTAACTGCTTGCATTAATGAGGACCGAGCGAGCTCCACGAGCTTGCGCCTGAAGGAGCCCAGCAGCAGCCCCAGAAAATCATCCTTGACATCGAATGCCCAACACACTCGTGGTGACAGGCGTCCAGACCCCTGGTGGGAGGACTAACCACCACGGGATACTTGTGTTGAATCCTCCCAACAAACGAGATCAAACGAACCCTTCGGCTAGGCGGCGATCCCCTGGCATTTAAACGCCGGCTGGGTCCTTAGCGATCTGTTCCCCAATCTTAATGAAACCGCACTCACTTCGAGGAGCCTAGGATAGAACATCTACCCACCAGTCGTCCCCTGTCCCTGTCAGCCCCTTCTCTTCTCCCGGAGGCCATGATCTGGGAGAGCAACTAGCTTTGCACGTGGTTTCTGTTCCCAAAAGCCAGAGCGCAGCTCTTAACCTCGTTGAAATTTACCAAACTGTGGCAACAAAGGAACCCTCGGAGCTACTTTACACCCTGAGAGCCTATCCCGCTACCGCGCGAGCTGCTGAAAAAGGACTTGGTGTGGGTTTTCATTCTTCGGATCAGAAACATTTCGGGAAAGAAAGCAGTTCTGCAGGCAGCCCCTCACCTCTTTCCCTCTTGCCTTCGACTTCCCTCTTCTCTCCCGAAGGCTGAGTTATGGGATAGTCCGGGGAGGAAACGAATCCTTCCCTTATAAGCCCCAAACCGGAGACACTCAGGGCACCCACAGCGTTTCCACTACTTTGGCGTGCGGGTCTCCAATTGAGAAGTGTTCGAGCCCCCCTGCGCGCTTCCCTGCACCGAAAAGAGCGGCGGGTTACTCCCCAGGCCCTGACTGCATAGAGCAATGATCCTATAGAGTACACCCCAAAGTCAGAGCAGGAGTGCGAGACTGGGTCAGGCACGCGGCCCTGCTTTCCCGGTGAAGCCGGCCTGATACCTGAGCGCAACTCCGAAAAAGAAAAAAAGAAAAGAAAAAAAGAAACTTGCACGAAAAGCGCGACCTAGCTGGGGCATGCACCTGTCCCTGGCGCCGTCGGCTGCGGCCGTGGCCATCCATCCACTCTCTTTTCCTTCTTCGTCAGCTAAAGTAGGTCAGACTGAGCTAGGCGTGCATCTCGGGAAAGTTTGTGCCCGCTGAAGTTTCTTCGGTTTCTCAGAGGGGGGCCCACAGGCTGACTTCCGAAGTCCGCGGGCATCTCGCCGCGGAGTTCTTGGAGCCTGGCCGCGCGAGGAGCAGTAGTGGAGGCCCGCCCCCTCATTCCCCGGAGGTCAGAGGCCGAAGACCCCGCGCGGGAAGTCCCGAGCCAGCACCCCCAACCACCCCCGGCTGCAGCTGCTCTCACTTTCACAAAGGTCCTGCAGCCTTCGTTCAGCAAGAGGAGCTTCCTTCTGGGACCCAGAGAGAGGAGACACCCGCCGCACTGTGACAGGGCACCCGGGAGCGCTGCCCGCATTCCCCTCGCCGAGCAGGGGCTCCCAGGACGGCAGTTACCTTGTTCCGCGGCGGTCCCGGGCTGAGGGCCTCCCTGGGGCTCCGCTGCGGGGGACCCGGGAAGCCAGAGGCGCTGGATTCCACAGGCACCCCCGGAGCTCTAGAGCCCTGGCCCCTCTCCGGCTGCGGGGACTCCGAGCGCCCGACACGCGGGAGCGCTCGACTGCCCCGGAGTCCTGCCCTTCGGGGGATGGTGAGCCCCGCTCGGGGCTCCCTGTTTGGGTCTGAACCGGGAGCGGCTGAGAACTTGCTGGGGAGAGACCGAGCTCCGACTCACTCATCCCTTAGCCCCGAGCCGCCTACTTATTTTAATCCACCACCCTCCTCCCTCCCTCCCTCCCTCCTCCCCTTGCCTCAGGATTCCTCCCCTCCCTCTCCTGTCCCCCAACCCTGCCCTGCGCCTGCGCAGTGGGAGACAAAGTTTTGCTGACCGGGGCAGCCGACTTTGGCAGCTGCGCTCACTTTGCCCCGGCCTCCCGGGACCTGCGTCCCCTGCTTTTCAGTCCGATGCGACCCCTTTTGCTTTGTTAGGCCCACGGGGCACCCCTGACGTGCTAGAGGAAACAGCCTCAAGCGGAGGAGAGCAGGCTAAAATTGCGCGTTCGAGGTCCTATTCCTGCTCGCCTGGGACACAGCCTGTGCAGCGTTGGGGGGCGGGCGGGGGTGGGGTACACGGGGATCCCCGTGCTGTAGCTTGCACTCCAGCTCTCTTTGGCCCCTGGCGGAGTCGCTCTTTCTCCCAGAATCCCTTCCCAGAGGTGTAGGGTAGGGCCCTGGGGAATCTAGTTGTTCCTGGACACCAACGGAGTGCCCACCCCAGTGCAGCCACCCAGACCCCAGTGCCTAGGGCTGACCCCAGACTCTGGGTTATGGAGTTGGGTGGGAAGATCAGAGGTGAGGGGTGGGGGAAAGAGGTCAAGAAAGTCATCATCCTAGGATCCCAAACCATCTGGGATTGTACCCTAATGCACTGTGGCACCCTCCAATCACATATTCATTTGTTCTGGGAGGACAGGTTGGGAGTTTGGAAAGCAAGCAGCAAAGTTCCTCAGCTTCAGGACCTCTGATCCCAGGGAGCTGGTTCAGGTGGCATTTGGGACTGAAGGGGAGGGGGGGTTCTGGCTGCAGGAAATTCTGTCTTCACTGCCTCTGCCTTAGGGAGAGTACCAATACCTTACCGACTGCTGGGCTCTGGGAGCTGACCTCCAGCTGACCCCAGCCCTGACCTCTTGCGGCCACCTCTCTGGAGCACCAGCCGTGGATTCAGGAGGAGGCAAAGGTTTCCTGGGGCTTGGGTGGGTCCGGATTCACACCACTGTACTCCCAAGGTCTGCCCCACAGTTGTGGCTGAGTGGCCCACCCAGCCCTTGGGGCTGGATCCTGGCCTCAGTGGGTCTCTGGTGTATTAGTACTGTGTCTCTGGAGAGGAAATGGTGCTTTGTCCAGCTTTGCTCTGCAAGTCTGGTGTGACATTTTTAGGGTGTCATTATCTGACCTAGGGAAATAATAGCAGAAATGCCCCCAAAAGACATAGTTGGAGAAGACCCTTATCTTATCCACAGGCTTTTAGGACAGAACCTGGCCTCCAGCCCCTCAGTAAATTTGACTTGGGTGGGGAGGAAGATGTAGGGGTACAGCTTTCACCCCCAAGGGACTGCACTCATCCCCCACCACAGGTTAGTGCTGATTCAGGGACGCACATAAGTTTGCTGTGCAGTTGGAATCCTAGCAGCTGCCAGTATAGGGCGACATTCTGGCCAGGGAGGGGCCCCTTGGGAGCAGAAAGGAGTTGAGATCACTCCCTTCCCTGAGATGCCAAAGCAGCAAGTTCCAAGAGCAGGGAAAGGACTGGAAGGAAAGTCCGGGGCATTCCTGCATTGAATTCGCTTCCACCTGGGTCCAGGGAATTCACCTATAACCAGTCTCAGTCTCTCCTAGGAGACAAAGCTCATGAAGCTCCATTAGCAGCCACGAAAGCATCCAAGAGAGGCCCTCCCAGCTGGCCCTCTGGCTGTCCAGATTGCTTAAGAAATGTCTGCTCAGAAGAGGACATTCAGGTGGGATGGAGCCTCCCAGGTGTACAAACCCCATCTCTTGCTCAGAACACACAGTGTATCTGTGTTTCTCCCATCTTTCCACTTGCTGTCTTCTTCTGAATCAGGGTCCTTGGCCAACACTCTTCAAGGACTTGTAGAAATCTCCAGGTAGTAGGATCCCTGAAGAGCTCTTGAGGAGAGGGTCTTTAGGGATTCTAAAGAAAGGACAATGCAACTGGGTTGTCTGATGTCACTTTTTTCAGGGTATCTGGAAAACTGATTTGGACTCAGGCCAAATCTTGGAATTTAGCAGCTGTAGGGCAAGATGGGAATGCAAGGTAGAAGCTGGCTCCATATGGCCCAGCAGCTCTGGCTTTGCTTCCCAGAGGCCTTCTGTCTGCCTCCCCCTCGAGCTGGTCTTCAAGGTAGGACAAGACAAGGTGAGAGCTGTGGGACTCCGCCACAGCTAGGACAAAGACGGACCTGTTTCAGATACCTGGCTTGGAAGATACTCCTTGTAGGAGTAGCAAAGTTAGAACGTTGCTCTAACTTTGAACAACCCCAGAAACCTCAGAAATGAAACAAAAGATTTGCTAGTTACCGAAGAGTCCTGCACCCCAATCCAAACTCCCAAGGGGGTGACCCACAAACCATGGACTCAGTCTCCCCTGGAAGCTAGACGGGTTCTGGTTTCCTCTGAGGAGGGTGAGCAGAAGAAGCCCAGAAAGCTAAGAACCCCTCTGCCCTCCGTTCAAGGGTGAACAGCGGAGGATCCCCTCCCCCACGGACTATTTAAGAGAAACCCATCAGCCTAAAGCAGGTGGAAGTACTATGGCCGCCCGGACTCGCACTTGTCGGGTTTGAGGAGGGCGGGACCCTAAGGGCTTCCATGTTGCTTCTTAGGAAAGTCAGATTCATTTAAGGACTCACAAGGACATTATGTTTGGAATTTAGTACACGTCCTCCGAAACCGGAACCCAACCGTCCTGTGGCCCCGGAACGCATTGCAGGTGTCGCAACTCCTGTCTGGACATCCATCCCATTCCCCCGGTGGCCAGCGCACCCGGCCACCCGCGGCTGCAGCTTCTGCTCGCTTCGAGCCTCCAGGCTCCCGCCGACACTAGACCCGCCCGCAGACCCCGCCAGGGCTCCCTCGGATTCTCCTGCCCGCTCACCGCCAGCAGGGCGGAACCGCGGGCGCCCAAGGGGTCTCAGTCTCCGTTGGAACTGAGCATCCTTGGGGAAAGGTCCCCACACTAGCGGCCAGGCCTCCAGGTCCGGGTTACACCCCGCCAGTGCTGGTGGGGTCAATCAATAGCCAGGGCTATCGAGCCACCCGGTCTTTGACCGCATGGCTTCCAGCCCCGCAGCGAGCCCTTGTCCACCAACTTTTCCCGGCACAATTGAGGTTGTGAGAGCCTCCGTTGGTCTCCCTGCCCCAACCCCAGCTCCTCTCCCAACCCCTGCTTACTGGGAAGGAAAGAGCCCCAGCCTATCTTCAGAGTGAAAATTGAACAGCTTCCAGAAAATTAACTAGAAAGTGGCCCCTGTTGCTTTGGGGTCTTTTGGATTTAAAAAAAGAACCCCACTTCTCCCTACTCCCCAGTCACACAAAAATGACCTCATTTTTAAGAAAGGAATTTACTTAGCACTTGTGAGTTTTTGCTTCCAAAGCAAGCCTCCCCTGTAACTACTTTGTGGACAATTGGGGCTCTGCTCATTTGAACCCCCCCCCCTTATGCACGTACAGAGCTTTCAAATAACCTGGAGATTTAGGTATCCCTCTGTAATCATTTAGATGATGGATTGTAATGGCTCAACAGTTCCTCTGGAACCATTACGATCAATCAGGTCAAAATCCAGCTTGGTGGGGAGGGTGGTTAAGCAGGGGAGGTAGGTAACACAACATCCACACACACTTGTATAGATAACACACCCCGATAACGGACAAACAATTCCAGAGTCTTCGGAGAATAGATCCCAGGTGAACCCAAGAGCGGGTGTTTATTGTGACAGCAACAGACAATTTACAGTATCAAAACTGAAAGGGAAAGTGAACTGTTTTTCTAGGCAGTTCCCGTTTCGTAAGTTCTTTATGAGTCCGTAAGTATCCTGTAACTATCTGTCACCTTACTAAATGTAACACGACACATATGCATGTATCTGTCCCTGGTTTATAAGAAGAATATGGGTGAAGCACGAATAGTCATGTGAAATTGCATGAATCCGGGGCATACTATCATCTGTAAAATGAAATGATGATGATGCATGGTATTGTGAGGAGCAAGTGTAAAATCTGTATAAAAGGTCTAGCGAGTTTACACTTTTTGTACAAATACGAGTTGTCAGAATTATTTTAGACACTTAACCCTTCTAAGATTACTGAACTTTTCCTCTTATCCAAAGGTGGAAATCAATGTATTAGGAACGAAGCAGTGTCTAATCAAACTGAGGATGATGAAGAAAAGTTATTTTAACTTAATTCTATACAGTCAGGGGGAAACCCTGAGGAAGAGAATTACCTTACCATACCCGCGGCGCTGCGTCTTTAACAGGCTGTATCAGCGACGGTTGGCGCTGGAGGAATCAACGTTCGCGGTAATTAAACATTTCCAGACACTGGAGGGTTATTATCTGCATAGCGATTTCCGGCGAAGGGACTCAGAGCTGGTCTGGCCCCATGTTTTATCGAGAGAGTCGGGGAAGCAATCCTAAAGAAAACGCGCCACCTGCTGGCGAGCAAGCGGCATCTGCCGGTACCCCTTCCTCCCAAACTCCCACATCCAGTTCTATTGAATCTTACCTACAAGTGGGTTTCCCCCTCTTAAATTTTCTTACGTGAGTCACGAAATTCGCCTTTCCACCTTTAAAACCACGCACACTGTTGCGCCTCCAAGGAACAAACAAAAGAGGAATTCCCTTTCGCCACGGGGTTTCTGGTTTTCCCTGCTCCAAAACCAGATTTGTGAGTTTTTGTTTTGTTTTCTTTTTAAATAATCCGAAATCCTTGGCAACTATCTACCACCATTAGTTTCTGGTCCTGGGAAAAACGATGAGCCAGGATCTGTGAAGCTTTTCTTTCTTCTCCTAGCTGGGTTAGCCACCTTCCAGGCAGCCTCCAGGTTGCCAGCTGGGTGAGGAGAGGAGGATCCCTGTGCCCACCCTTCCAGCCCCATGGCTGGTCAGTATGTGGTCCCTCCCCGGATTCTGGTTCTGGCTTTCTTAAGAACCATGGGAATGAAGAGAGGGAGT